AGTTTGGTCGCTGATTATGTTTTATTACAATGACTAAGGCTGAAAAAAAATACAGCTCAGAAAAAGCACTGGGGCTTATTTTAGTTTTAAAAGCAGCAGTTTCAATATTTTTTTAATAGATTTTTATGTTATCGTAGATTTATAAATGTTAAATTTTGTTATATATACTGATTCTGAAAAACAAAAGTGGAAAATACTTCCTTCATAAGTGTTTTGTGGCCATCAAAATTAGGGATGGGGATCGAAACACGGTTCCATCAGGGACCCGGTTCCACTTTTTTCAAAACCCGAAAATCAATAACGTTTGGGCTTATCGATACCACTATCGAGTCTGGTCGTTTTTTTTTTTTCTCCTGGAGGTCCTGTAACGTAATTGTGTGTCCCTCGAGTCGCGTCACAGCATTTAAATCTAATCAATCCAATCACTGCAGCATGTCCACCAATGTTTTGGAATGAAATTGTAAGCAAACAGATATTAAAAGTAAAACAAGTAAAGTCTGGCAGTTAACTTCGCTCGCGACTCGGTTTCATTTTACCAAGCTCAAAGATAAAGAAGAAGCAAAATGCAACTTATGTTGCAAAATCATCTCTTGTAAAGGGGGGAAAACAACCTCAATGGCCAAGCACATTAGTATTGTGCATGAAATAAAGGCCAAATGCAGTACCTTCGACTGTCTCCGGGTTGAAAAGACTCCTCCTCCTCCTGCTGCTGCTGCCGCACCACAGTCGGGCCCGTCTATATCATCCACTCAGAGTACCACTGGTTAGCGCGCACACAGACTTTGTAGCTTGTCCGGTCAGTTAAAAATAGTAATTGTGAAATCCGTGTTGTAATCGGCAGCATACAAGCTAGTTAGCTTGAAAAGTAAATAAAGTTTCAGATGTGCTGCGGGATGATGTGTTCAGATTGGCTCAGTAAAACGAGAATTAGGTTATCATGATGCTTTCAACTGTAACGCAAAGAAAAGGGAAATTGAGTTTTTGGCGAGAAACATGAGTAATACAGTTGTATATTGCTCTAATTATTTTAGAATATATAATTAAACTACTGATGCCAACATTTATTAAAAATTACATTTATTTTAAAATACTATTGTTTATTTGCTAAATATTTTCCTAATCACTACTGTCACTGATGAAAAGTGACAGTAGACAATACATTAACCAACAATTGTGAAAATGTATATATTTTTTTAAACCAAAAGAAGACATTTCTTCAAAATATAGGACATTTCTTCAAATATTTTTTTTCCCCACTTCCTTTCTGTCTGTTAAAAACATATTGTTGCATCATCTTTCCACCAAATAACAGAAAAGTATCGATAGTGGTATCGATAAAGACTCGTATCGATAAGCAGTATCGATATTTCCTATCGATATCAATAAATATTAACGATCCCCATCCCTAATCAAAATGCTTCAGTGTTATTCTATGGGTCAAATAGTTAGGTAAAAGCATTTGGCACAATTTGGAGAGATTTGGAGATGCTGGTGACGCCAAAGTTAAAAGCCCCACAGCTCTGGAACTGTTGGAGCTAGAGGTCTGAAATTTTATGCATTTGTGGTTGACACAATGTAGAACAAATGTAATACAATGAGACATGCTGTTCAAAAAAGACCTATAATTTTTGAGAATAAAAAAACAAAAACAACTGAGTCATGTTTGACCTGATGCAGCAATTTTCATTTATATTTTTTAGAAACTAGAAGGTGTTAGCTCTTGTTAATTTGACAGAAATGGAGATAAATTCATCCTTGAAATGAAATAGATGATGATGAAAGGTTATGGGACTGTTTTTAATTTTAATACTAATTAAGCCTAATTGAATTCTGCAAACCTATACACTTAATAGTACCTAAAACCTGCCACAGGTTTTTGCTTTAGGTAACAGACAGCCTGTTTGGGAATAGCCAGTAACTCTTGCCACTGAGACCAACAAACCTGGACCAATATTGAATGAAGATTTCAAGTGAGTTATCTGCTGGAGGTAAAATACTAGAAGTTTATAATCTTTTAATATAACCTGACTTAAAAATTCTGATATGCTCCTTTAAAACCTTTAAATACATGGCTGTGCAACAACAAAGATCAGCAGCCATTAAGCTGTGTGTAAAATAAAGCAGGTGACAGTTTCTCCTTTATCGCCGAGTACCTCAGGTTGCACAACAGGTATAATGGGAGAACACCCCCCACCCCCCCACATACCCCCCTCCCACACTGCTGCGCCTCAGCCATGTTTTCAGCTTCAGCACATTATAGGAAATGCAAGCATTTAACCGAATGTCATTCACAAGGTTATTGCCTCTGTGCTCTGCTTGCTGCGCATCTACATGGTGCTGACCAAGCTCCGAAACACAATCCACCAAAAAAAAAACACAGACAGCTGCCATTTTCATTCAAGCCCCTTGTACCGGCAGGGAATAATACCAGGAGTCATATCAAAGGATATGTAATGAATATAGGTCACAGGGATTTCCTGTTCTCATGTAATCATTCCTTAAACCATGATTTCATTAATAAATCTCCGGCCCATACAGGAGTTTAAATATTTTCATAAATAAACTTGAACTAATCTTTAGGTGTGGGTACAACAATCAACCACATTTGACCCTGACAACACACCAACACAAGGACAGTCAATTAAGCCTTTCCTTTTTTATATCCTGTCTTTTTTATAGATTGATGCTTTATCTCGCTCACCAGCACACATGACCAGAGATTATTTTTTTAGAAAATTCTTAAGCAAATTGCAGTGCCTTCCTTAAATTCTCATGGAAGCCGCGAAGAAGTGACTGGATAGAAATTAAGTAATTATGATGGAGGTAAAGCATGTGACTCGGTTGAGCCCATTTATAGGTTGAGAGTTTGCAGCAGTGGCGTACCTGTACTGTGGCAGGGGGCTCCCCTCAGCCTCGCACATGATAGTTGCTTGGTGGTCCGGGGTGTTGATTGGCAAAATGAGGTCGCTTGGCTCCGTCCTCCATCTTGGACCTTGAAATATGACATCCTCTGCACAGGCTGCAGAGAGTGGGAAAAGTCTTTACTTGTACAAGGCAATAAATCTCTCTCTTTGACCTAAAGGACAAAGCACTAGAAGAATAATTTCATTGTGAACAAAAGTTAATCTTTTAGAAAAACAAAAGCACCAGTTTCTTTTTCAAGAAACTAAATGCAGTATCTTTGTTGAAAATGTTGCTCTCAACAAAGATGTGCATAGAATACACCAGTATGCTATCCTTGGGCTGTATTCTTGCTATTTACGATGCTTGTTTGTTAGGATAGCACTCCAAACGCTGGAGATTTTAGTGTATTTGTGTCACCTCTGAATAACCACAGTGTGTACAAATGACAAGATGTCTTGGTGTCAGGATGTGTATGGCTCTGTAATGTTTCTGTGCCTTTAAAATGATAGAGTGAATAAAAGCCAAATTTAATAGCAGTGTGATATTTTTTACCACTCCATAAGCCAAAAAAAAAAAAATTCCCAACATGACCACTGGGAATCTTAAAATTTACAGAACTCTATATTTGTTTGGGATGCACGTAACATCTACTCAAGGATTGGGATCTATGTTTACTAGAAGTTTTCAACCTTATACTTTGAACATCGAAGAGTTGGGTTTTAAACAATTTTTTGATCCACTATTTGGTGCTTTAACATTAGATCATGCGCAAAAAAAAAAGTTTTTTTTTTTCAACTTTGGTTTATCCATCCATCCATCCATCCATCCATCCATCCATCCATCCATCCATCCATCCATCCATCCATCCATCCATCCATCCATCCATCCATCCATCCATCCATCCATCCCTAGCCACTTGGGCCAGCGCCTCTAGGGGAACCCCAGGGGCTCCCAGGCCAGCTGAGAAACATAGTCCCATATGAAACCGTTAAAACCAAAGTTTAGCGGTTCCATATTAGTTATTCAACTTCATGATCATCTCTTATGACCTAAACCATTATTTTCTCTTCTGACAGGAACCTGCACCATTGAAAGTAAAATTAAAATAAAAGCAAATACCACCAATATTTTTACTGAATTGTCTTTAACATTTAGTTATCTAAGAGAAGATTCTAATAAGTCTCAAAGAGTTGGATGATTGACACAGTGTAATAGAGGTTTTTAACGTTAATTATCAGTCTAAGTTGATCTAATGACTGAAGCAGCAGAATACTAAAGTAAATCGACCAGCAAGAGGCCAGTCCAAATACTAACATACATTTTTAACAAATTTCATATTAATTAACACTTATTTGGAAGTAAGAGAAAGTATATAGGAGAGAGATTTATTTCAAGAGCATCTATATCATGCTACATGCACACAATCTAAACTGGGCCATAAGGAGACGCACTCATCTGCGAGCAGCCTAAAAAGAAGGGATGTGGAACACAATCTGGTACTAAATCAACGCACAGTCAACAGACGGCCAGAGAGGGTCTAATTAATATCCTACTGCTAGCAGATTGAGGCATGTGGCTAGCCATTCTACACGTGGTAAAAATTTGTCATGAAATCCAAACAGGTTGAGAAGCCAGACAGGGTAATAGCTGTGCCTGCTGTTAAGAGGTTGTTTGGAATGGAGAAAATAGAACCAGCCTAGAAGTTATCTGTCGATACCAAAAAAAAACAAACAAGCAACCTATAAAAGTAATCATTTTAAGATTATTCGTTTTTGAAGCTGCACACAGAAAAAGGCCCTAATACTTCTTTACAATATTTCCTAAAAAAATAAAATAAAACTAATACCCTAGAGCAGGGGTCTGCAGCCTTTCATATCCAAAGAGCCATTTAGCCCCGAATCCGACCAAGTAAAAGTTGTTTAGGGCCTCAAAATACTTGAAAAAAAAAAAGACTTAAAAAAAAAAGCCTATTTTTTTTTTTTTTATATCTTATTTGGGAAATTAGTTGCCAACAAATTATGTATTTTTAGCTTTTAAAATAATATTAAACACATAAATTCCAAGCTAATTCAAAGAAAAATGTCATTCTTTTCAATCTTGTGTTTATGAAAACATTTAAGACTAGTACATTATTTAGCTCTTCATATACATTTTAGCCACTATTAAGAGCCGCTGTAGGGGGTCCAAAGAGCCGTATGTGGCTCTAGAGCCGCAGGTTGCAGACCCCTGCCCTAGAGTCATGTTCTCTATGACAATGTTCTCTTAGCCTATCACATTGTAATGAAAAAGATTGCCGTATTCATCTTAGGAAACCTGTGTCAGGTGCTGCCAAAGTGGGATGTCCAATACGGGTAAGAGATAAGAAACAAACTGGTAGAATCATGTTTGAACTTTTTTCTTTTTTTTGTGAGGTGGTGTAAATGTAAATACCTGTGATAGATGAACAGATGATAAATCAAGTGCAGACTTGTGAATTGAATTGAATCAAAATTGCATCAGGATACATAACCTTGTGATATCAGTAAATGTCATATTGTCATCCAAATCAAATATGACACTGCAGATAAATCTCGTTTGTCTAAGCCACTACATCCCTTAAATGAAGTCAAGTCCGGTCAACTTTAAAAATTCTTCAACACAAAACAATTTTTTTCAGGCAGCGCTTCCAAACAATCCATGTTTTCTGTATTATTTCTAATCATACTCCCACAAAGTTTACAGCAGAGTTAAGCAAGGGCAATGCTATTTTTGTGGGGGTAGAGATGACTTTCTCCTTTACTAAAAAAAATGTAAACAAAAATGTCTGTAATATGTTTGCAAAATCATTGTCTTCTGTTAAATATGATGAACCCCAGATTCACTACTGATATCTTTACTTCCTGTTTATGTTATTAAGCAATTCAAATGCTTCAGTGCTGTAATCAGCCTGCATTTATTATGTCGAGTAGACCTATCAACTAATCGTCAATGAACTGCTTGATTATACTCTGTTTTCTAATTCATAGGAAAGAATATGGTTCTCAACACTAAACGACTGATTAATGTGGTAATTTTTTTGGTAAATATTCATTACCTCTGCTATTGTTCCTGTGAATTTAGGACAACAGATTTTTATATCTTAATATGAACAAATTTGAGGATAGCCTTACAGTTAACCTTAACCTCTCTCAAAAATAAGCAGAAAAATGTTTTTCTTTTATTTTGTTACACTATAATTGATAGACTACATGTAGTTGTGGAGCAGGAGAAAAAAGATATATGATTTTATATTTTTTCAAACAAACATAAAAAAAACTGAAAAGTGGAATGTGCATCATGTGTTAACCCCTTGAGTCGATACAAAGACCATAGTTTCTCAGCACATCTTGCTTTCCACAATAGAGACTGAAGATGTTCCCATTCCTCTTTGCAAAAAAACAATCTTTCGTCAGATTGGATAGAATGTATTTATTATTTTTTACATTCCTTCAAATTTCCAATTATATGTAGGTTCAGCTTCTAGCAGGTTTTCTCCTGGATATATCTTGTATTTAGCATAGTCCATCTTCTCTTTCACTGTAAGCTCATTGTCTCAGTTGACAAAAAGCATTTACGACAATATTTCATTTTGTTTGTGTGATGTTCAGGGTAATGTGTAGAGAATGTTACATTTTGAGATCACCAGAAATTGTTTCATATACTATCAACATCTAGATTTCTGTTGCTAAATACAGTCTTCAAACAGGATTTCTTATGCTTTTTATTTTAGTAATAGGTTTTTTCTTGTCTCTTTTTTACAAAGTCCAGAGCCAGTATTTACGAATTAAAAGTAATTCTTAGTTAAGTCATAAAAAACTTGAATATATCTATCTTCCCCTTCAGGAAAAGCTTTCAAGTGCCCATATAAAATGCTAATTTTAAGAACAATAAATCAATAGTAGAAAAAAATGATGAATAACCATTATTATAAAGTGAACGAAGCCATGACCTTCAGAAGGTTTATGTGTCTTAAAACATTTGCACGTACATTTTGTATGTACAGAGTGGATCTACAAAGAAGGTGCAACATGATTTCACATCTTCACAAACCTTATTTTGGGTCTTTTCCTTTATCAATTTGCAGATCATATTCTGATCATTCTAATGCATTTATGGGTGGAGGGTATGAAAATGTGAACATTTACCATGTGCGTTTTTTGTTGTTGTTTTTTTTTCTAATTGGACTCTGCATGTTTTTTTAGTACCTCTGAAGGTCAGGTGCCATCTCACATGTATTTGGACCATCAGAAGTACCAATAGTATAATAATATTGATAAAAATAAAACTTCTCTACAGGTGGGCACAGAAAATTGAGGAAGGATGATAGACATTCTGGCATCACGGACTGCTTTCCGAGTTTTTTTGTGGTAATTAAAATTTCAACTTCAACTTCAACTTCAACTTCAACTTCAACTATATATATTATTTTCAATTATTATTTTTTGATAATGAAAAGTTGAAATTATATGGCTTTGAACGGCATCTTTTATTTTACGGGCACTCTCAAACTTTTATTTTAGTAGTCTGGAAACAATCTGGTTTGGATGTCTTAACATTTGCCTGTTTGTTGCAAAGGCAAAAAAATTATTGCACAGCAATTAAGTCCCCCTTATTTGATATCTCTCATGATCAAGCTCTAAATGAACAAAAATCCTCAGCCTTGGTTTATATCCTATTAGCAGGACCGACTTTAACAGTAAATCCTCCTCCCATTCTCAACCTTTATTTCTCCTTTTTATACTTGTTTGCCAAATCAAACCACTTTATAGAAGCAGACAATTAGAGCCCTATGCTCACAGGTGAATACATATTGATATTCACTAGATAGAGAGGCAAAACGACCAGTATGGTGCATAAGGATAATAAGAAATTCAAAATAATTATCCGGATGCAAATGAGATGCAACAGAGTATGACAATTTAATTAATCAGGGCTAGGTTTCTTCATTATGACACATATTACTTAACCCAGTATAAACTCTGTGATCAGTTAATATCTTTCAATTGTTACTAGGAAACTATTCCAACAACCAATCACAGCTATTTGGGTAAAATTTTCCTCTTCACTAAGGTATGAGCTTTCGTCCTGCTCACTTGTAAGATAAATCTCCTTGCCCAGAAAGTTAAGCTCCAAAATAAAATCCTTGTCAATTTAGGTCAATATTGCTAGTTAGTGGTACAAATAGTTTTCAACATATTTCTCCACCTTAGTTTTTAATTCCTGAAGTTCCTTTAGTGTTACTACAACCTTTTGGATGCTTTGATAAATGCTTTACTTCCAACTTGTATTGCAGGTGATATAAGACATAAAAAAAAAAAAACATAAATGCTAGTTCTGCTTTCACCTTTAAATTATCCACAACTTTGTGTCAGCATAGTATCTAAACTGAAACAATGAAATAATAATTTTGTGGCTACATTATAAAAAATAATGCCCCAAAAAACATTTAGAAAGATATTCCAGATTGCCAATGGAAGATTGCAGTTGCTTCCGTTTTACAATCAAAACAATGAATAAGAACAGGCACCAACAGATAGAGAGACCAAGGCCCTTCTAAAAACACTTGCTTCGCTAGGGGAAGGTGAGACTGGATCCATTCCTCCCTTGGGCTAAATGCGTGAATTACCCATGAGCCAATTTGAATAACTTTCACTGGGAGCTACAATGTCATTTGAACAAGGGTTGACATTCCGGTAGAGTGTCTGTGCCTCTCCTGCTCAAATCCCAGGTGGCTGCGCAAGGGCAAAATGAAGCCCAGGGAAAAGTAGATTGGGCTAAAATGTGAGGCTAGATTCATTGCATGGATCCTGATAAAGATCTGGACAGACCAGAACAGGAATAGGAGTCCCAGGTGTCTGTGCAGTGGTCTCTAAATGTGCAGCAGGGCACTGGGGAATGGTGAAGGACATCATGCTGGAAAACTGTACAACCCTGTAATCCCTCCAGCTTAATCAGTATAACATTTATGGTTTATGCAGCTTCTGCAGTTAATAACAACTCCTCTGCTTCTCTCATCTTCTCTGTAATGCATATGTCAAAGAAAATGTGTTAGTTAACTCTGAAGCCGTTATAATAGAAACGTTTTTAACTGATGAATAAAGAACAGAACCCTCCCCAATGGATAATAAATTATTGAATAGTAAAAACTTAATTTTGGTAAGCTTCACCGGAAACATATAGCCACATTATACCCAATTCAGAGAAATTCAAGAAGAAATTGGAGAAAAAGACCTGCCATGTTTCCATCCAAATTTGTGGCAAATTTTGAGCAAACTTTGAGCAAAATAGCAGGGCTCTGTAGAGCAATACTGTCATATGATGATGTTCACTTGGCTTTAGTAAAAAGGAAAGTAGATTTCCCAAGCGTGTGCAGACCACACATGAGTGATGGATCAAGGTTTTAAAGAATGTACTCAAGTTGTAGTTATTTTATCATGACAGCTAGCATTAGTAATGGTTCATGCCATCTTGAGACATCAAGACATAAGAGTAATTCTAATGCTGCATTAAGGACTCCAGTGGCACCGGAAACAGGTGATCAGTGATGTAAGGTAAATATTTCCTATGTCAAAACTTATTCGGAAAAGCATCGTTTTATCTCCTTTTTAGTGCATTTACAATTTTTTTAAGAAATTCAAAATCCATCTCAAGCGTTTCTCTGCATTTTGTTGTTTCCATCAAAATCTTCTAATGCGATACTCAAGATCTTCTAATGCAATACTCTGTCAGTATGGAAGAGGGATACAAAGCTAGTATCAGGGTTTTGTGATATAAGTGAACCACAAAAGAAACCAATTCTCTATAAATGCAAAATCACATTTAAATGGTAAACCTTCTAGGAGTGGTTAACCTACCATAGGTAATAAACTCAAATGTGGTGATCAAAGTGTAATGATCTGAGGCTGCTATTCTGCTCGAGATCATAGACAACTCTCCATAGTAAATGGAGCCATACATTCTGTATTCTAGAGCAGGGTTTAGAGAACCCGCTACTCCAGAGCCGCATAACGCCCTTTATCCTTGCGGCTCCCTGGAGCTTTTTCAAAATTGTATGAAAGCGGAAAAAGAGAAAAAAAAAAAGTGGATTTTTTTTTTTTGCTTGTTTTAATATGGTGTGCAAGAAGACAAGCAAACATCCATTACGTTTTCCAATGCTATAAAAATTTGTATAATAAATAAATTCAAACAATAAATTTCTGTCAACGGAGATTTGGGTAATAGCCTGCAAACACGTTTCAGCGTGGCGCGATGCCAGGCATGTGGTTGTTGTAAACAAACTGGAAGATAAAAAAAGGAAGATAACTGATAAGAACAGAAGACTTTCATTATCAATTCTGAAGGATTGCCTGCATGTTTGCTTTGTTACGAGAAGTTGTCAAGTAATAAAAAGAGTCATATGGAAAGGCATTTCCAGGGAAGGCATGCTAAATTTGCAGCCAACCACCAAGTTGGGAGTGTGAGAAAATGTGTGATTTCAGTACTTCTGGATAGATTACAGGAGCACAAAGACAGATTTAAGAAGTGGATTGCATCTTCAAACTCCCCTACTGCTGTTAAATAAGACTTTGAATTTTTTTGTGGCTCCAGACATTTATTATTATTTTTTGGTCCAATATGGCTCTTTGAACAGTTTGGGTTGCCGATCCCTGCTCTAGAGGAACATCTTGATTAGAGAACACCCCCTCATCAATATGTGTCCTTAAACTCAAGCCATCTTGGATTATACATCTAGATAAAACAACAAAACCCACCACTAAATTCAGCTTTTGAATGGCTTAGAAAATACAAACTAAAGGTTTTAGAGTAGCAGTAATTACAAATACTTAATGGCCATTTTAACTGAGAAGGGTGGCAGAACAAGGTGCAAGGTTTAGAGTTCAACTACTTTTCCACATAGTGTCAGGTTGGGTTCAACATCTTGCTCCCTTAATGAAAGACATTAGCCTTTGAAAAAAATATATATATTTACTCCAATTATTTTGTTCTGATATTAAACATTTCGGATGATCTGAAACACTGAAGTGTGAAGAAAAAAATCTGGAAAAAGATATTTCTTTATAACACTGCAATGTGTTACACCACAGAGAAACACAAAAGTGGCAAAAAGTAATTGTGTGTAATGAATATACCCCAGACACATTTTTAGAAAAATATTCTGGTGACATCAACCATGACATCAAGCTGCAGTGTAGTGAGACTGAAATACAATATGTGCTACGATGTCTTACCTGCAAGGCATCCAGTGATTGATAGCAGAACAATTTGTTTCCATGGTAACATCATCTTTAGTTGCTGAGGGCTAATGAGTCTCTCATCCAATTGCTTCTGAATGGAATGCTCTCCCTTGAATAGAAGATTTTAATCTGAAGAGAAAGTAATTATGGGTGTGATTAAAATGTGACATTTTGATCCAAATACGACAAGCATACATACAGTGGGAGAGAAAATATGATTACAGCGCTAGTAAGTTGCATAATTGGTTCTTATTATTTTGGAGTTACACTGAGTGAGGGGAAAGAGAATCTCGAGGAAGTGTGAGGAGACAAGTGGAAAACAGAAGAACAAGCAGTCGAAAAAACCATGAGGATATACAAGGATGGAGTACAATTTTCAGGTGGCACATAAAAAGCTGCAACAGCTGCTAAATAGCTGTTTTCTTTTGCTGTGCCTGTTTTATGCCACCTAACAAGAACATATTTCAGTTTTAAATAGGAGTGAGAAAAGAAAATGTCTGACCTCAAAAAAATGCTTTTCTACCCTAATTTGACCTTTAATATTTGCTTGCAGACTATTTACCGGCATTCGACTAAAAAATGCCTCCACCTACTAACGATGTGGTTAGACTTAGACTTACTTAGGCTTAGACAACTCTCATTGTCATTTTCTATACACAAAGTGTATACAAAACAGAATTTCATTTAGTACAGCGTTTCAGACAGTAAATGCAGCAGTGATCAAATGTAAACAGTGTGGGAGAAAAAAACATGTTGCAAAAACGCATTGATATGGAAGTTCAGAGCCTAATTTTTAGATTAATATATATATGGTGCAAATATGCAGTATTTTTGGTTTGGTGTTGTCAGTGTGATGCAGAGTTTGTGACATCATTTAGTTTTTAAACAGTTCAGCAGTCTGATGAACTGTCTGGCAGTGGGAAAGAAATTGTTGCAGAATCTGCTGGACCTGCATCTAATGCTGCAAAGCCTCTTCCCAGAGGGCAACAGGAGAACAGTCCATGGTGGGGTTGTGAGGGGTCATGGATGACGTTACGGGGTAGGGACACACAGCACTGGGATGAAATGTCTTTAATGGAGGGAAGAGGAGTGACGGATTGCGTAAGGAACACTTTTTAAACTTTATGCTAAATTTGTTACTCATCCTGTTAGAATAGCCTTATTAAGTGTGCTACATTGACTATAAAACCACATAATTTTGGCTTCTTAAAATTTTTCAAACTAATTGTGTCTTTTTTTCTTTCCTCATCCGACAAAGGGTTTTATAGCATAATCTAATCCAACAGCCAACTAGATATGGTACGTACATTATTCATTTAGTAACATCTAGAAATGTACTACACATTTTTCTTACCAACTGACAGTTTGTCAATAAAGTGAGAGAAACCGAACAAAGGCAGAAAATCAAATAGAAATACTAGCAATTAACTGAGTTTGACAGGGTTTATGAGAATGCCTCAGGGCAGATGGTACGGTTGTGCAATTGCTAGGCATATGGGTTGCTCTATTTCCAATGCGATGTGATGACACGTGTTTGTTTGTGTTGGTACCTTTACAATCATACTGGTTCCAACACAGTGACATCTTTATGGTGCACATGTAAAGCAGTTACATAGGTGACATACCCATCCCTCATCTGCATGTGTGTCACACTAGACCATTCCTTTGGCTAAATTGTGTAGACTGAGTTTTGTCACTGTTATGTATTTGGAAATAAATATTAAGGTCTCTAAAAAGCTGAGTAGTTGCTGGATTTTTTATGAATTCAAGAAAAACAAGAGGAGCACTTTCTCTGTTTCTCCTTCCTTTATGTAGCCAACAAAATCTCTCCACATTCTGGCACTTTCTATGGCATCTTTTTAATACAATATTAAAACCTGGCATATCAGGATAGATTATTTCTAACCATTTTAAAAAGTTTACATTTTAAAACATTATTATACACTGGTAGCAGTAACATATCTATATCTAGACCTGGTGCTCTGAAAAATTACACAGAAACTGTACTTTTAAAAAAGTATTAAGGATTTGCATGCTTTCCTTGTTAGGAAATGCACTGAAATGCTTTGAGGTCGTACAGAAGTGTTATTAAACCCCACACTAAAATATAGCCTTAACCATTAAATATAATTATTTCTGTCAGCTGCAGACTTAAAATTATTTGATAGAACATGAATCAGGGGCAGCCATCCTTTCGTCCACCTATGTGCTACAAAGTCTGAAATACGGCAGGATGCTACTAACAATGACTCGGGCTAAACATACTGTATGTCAATGGCTGTGTGTAAAAGATTGAATTGGCATCATTCATAAAGTGAATGCAACATGTTATACTCCAACATTTATAATACGCTGTTACTCTGCCCCACCTGATGCCCTGCGCTTTTCCTGAAGATAAAAGTATTTTTTTGTTCAACACAAATTAGAGCAAAGACAATATAACACATACTATTAAACACTAATAAATTGAAATTCTGGACTCATCCTGAATTTGTTGCTTGTTAAGCTAGTCGGAGTTTTGCAATTTTGTGAAAACAACATTAAGGACATTCAAATTAGGTGGATGGGCTTATTAAGGAAGCAGCGAAGAATAAACATAGGAGGAAAAAAGTGGCTGCTAATTAGTGCTGAGGATTTAGGTAAAAGCAGCACAGGCATAGTATGTTACATATAAGCATATGCTACATGCTGTGTAAAAGTTCTTTCTGCATTAGGGAATATTCAAAATAAGTAATTGTAACCTTTATATTAAAGCATGTTAAGATAGGGTCCACAATCACAGGAAGGCATGTAATTATGATATTACTATAGAATATTCTGATGAAGATTTTAGCAATTAAACCAACTTTTCCTGCATCCTATGAGAGTGTATGACTGTTGGTCTGTTGGTCATTAAAATCTGTATAAGGTAGGTCATCAAAGAATGTTCTTCCAACTGATCAAATTATTGTGGCACATAAACTGCAAACAGATGGCACAAAGATAACCTCAGTACATATTAGATCTGAGCAGTTACCCTGCTGAGAATAGCGAATAACATTTTTTCATTTCCTGGATCTGAAGCAACGAATGGATACGAACTGCCAGCATGAGAACTGACATGGAACTCGGGTTGTCAAAAGTATCGATACTCAAAAAAGTATCAATAATGAAATGTTGTATCTGGATACAACACTCGTCTTTAAAAGTATCCACCAGGTGCCACCAGTGGCACCAAAGCAGTCATTCATCTAAAGTGCAGAATAGAGGAAAATGCACTTTCTGAACACTGTGTGATTGAATAATTTTCAGTGTCACACTTTTTTTTCTGTAAGAGGTGCAGCTGCTGAGAATTATTTTTGTTTCTTAACTGGTTTGGCTAGTGTCATTGTTATGTGTGCAAAACATAGCCAAGGAAGGAACACTTAATTTTAATTTTATAAGTTTTTTATCAAGCTTGCTTAATATTGTGCACATCATACAACCTTTATTATATTTATTTATTGCATTTTATTTATTAATGAAAATATTTCTGTAGAATTTTGGAGTCTTTGTTTTTATCCTTGTGGTAACAAAAATGGTATCGAGTATCGAATATTCTCCTTAGTATCGGTATCGAGTTGAAAAGTTTAGTATTGTGACAACCCTACATGGAACCCACAAATCCTACACAATTTCCTAGGGTGAATCTTGACAGAAAACACCCTTTTGATTTCTTTATCCTGGCAATGGGCTCTGAAAGCATATATAAAATGTGTTTCCATCAATGGAAAGGTCTTCTAATGCAGTATTGCATTAGAGGACCTTGATGAAACAAATACATTTTGAATAAATAGACTTAATCTAATAAAAAACTTGAGGTGGTTATTGATTTATTTATTTTTTCAGAAAAGAGTAAGTGTGCTAAAGAGAAGATGAAAACATATTTGTCAAATAAGTTCTGTTGAAGAAAACATTTAACTCACGACTGATCAGCTGATTTGCCTGACGATGTCCAATCCCAAACACTAGTATTAGGTTAGGACTTCTCTGTTAATGTCTCCAGAGGGCATGTAACATGTTAATAATGGTGAATATGATAAAGTAAGTACAACTTTTGTGGTTGAGACACATTTATCAGAACCATTGTGCATTATTGATGTGTGATACTCGCTATATGAACTTCCCTTTTTATCACAGCCAATACATTGCATTTTGGATTCCCTGGTTAATGTGCTTCAATAGATGAAGCATGTCTAATTTACATTTGCTTTTCTTGTCACCTTAAAGGTTTGCACCTGATCAGCATGAGAATCGGATGGAAACACAGTTATGGCCCATGATCTCATTAAAAGGGGTTTGTTGCATTTTTTTCTGCTATACACTGAGCCTAAAGGGGATAACAAGCAAGATCATTAGAAAAAGAGGAAGCTAAGTAGACATAGCTGGTACCATTATAGTTTGACCCTTTTGCAGAGCTTTGCAGACCCTAACCCATGGACCTCATTTTGGTTTCATGATGATCATGTTCTGTGCTATTGTCCAACAAAGGATAGCTGAACAACTTAAACAGAGACCTCAATTGACATGTGCTATTGTTAAACATGAAGATTTGGCAGTTCAAGACAAATTAAACAGGAGGAAAAGGTGATAATGTACATCAAACATTACAGAATATTTATTAATTTAATCTAGAAACAGGCAATCCATGAAGTACATTACACAGTGAGGTTATATGACTTAACTATCAATTTAAAGTTCAGGCCATTGCACACAAAAAACTAAGACATTGCTTAGAAAGACCACCAAACTGTCTAATGTGACCCTCAGTAAACCTTGTCAGATATGTAATGTCTTCAGACAGCATCCCATGTTGCTGGGAAAATGTGCTTGTTGCCAAAGGAACTACCTCTTGCTCTGACAGTCAACTCCAGATGACGTCGCTAATGCCTTCTTGCAGCCACAAAACTGTATATCTATCAAATGTTGTCTATAATGGACCATTTTAATGGGCGTATAATAGTGTTAAGCAGATAGCACTGACAATGGTATTGATGATGCAGTATGAAGTGTGTGGCATTTAATTAAAAGCTAAACATTGCAATAGTGAGTATGCTGCTGCTGACATTTACATCCATTCCCCATGAATTTCAGCATCACTTGAAGTCTCGACTTATTTATTGCTCAAAACTGTGGACACGGGTTTAATTTCCTCATGTGGAATGGTAAGCTCTAACAATGCAATTCTGAGAAAACAGGAGGGGCTTTTCTTGAGCTCTGACCTACATCACAGTAAGTGGAAAATGATACGCCTTTAAGGATTAAAAATTCAACTCAAACTATTATCCTATCCACACAACCCTGTTGTGTGGATTAACCCTGAGCTATCTTTGGAATACTTGACTTAGACCTACACAGATGTATTGGTTCAAGACTCACATGAGAGGCAGGATGTGGAGAATCTTTGTCCACACCATGCCTTTTCCTGAGGCATAAAGTCTAAAAAAAAAACATCTCATCATGACATTTGTTTGATTATAGCTTAATGGCTAGTGTTGGTGTTGCTTGACTGTTTCAGTGCCAGTAATTGTTCCTCATCTGCTATAATTGCAGGCACAGCCAAATTCAGGGTGAATTTCCTGGTGTCTTTCAAAATTTTGTGGGAGTTTTGCTACTCTAAAGAGTCGTTGCATTGGATTTCATGTTTTGAGGGGCTATCGGAAAGAGGAAAAAAATGTGTGCTGTATTTTTTAGTTTGAGTGTAGCATTAAGGACCATCGTCTTCCTGGATGATCCATTCTTGCTATCTCGACCCTTCAGTCCTACAAGTTTCAAGATGATAAAAGGAAAAGTTCCTTAGGAAAAAACGTCCTTGAAAATCAAACAGTCCATAGCAGAGAGTATCAGCCGATATAATGAATGTAAGTCCCTGAGCTTAGAAAACCTAAAAGGACTCCTTTCATTTTGAAGCATTTTGTGTATTCGTATTATGTAAATCAAAATAAATGTGGGATAAAGGGATGAATACATATTTCTAAAGCAGATTCACACAGGTCTTTCTCTTTTATGTATTTTTCTTTTGCTATTTGGACATTTCAAACCTTTAAAACAACTTTTACCTTTTCAGAAAAAGGAGCACCTGAAACTTTTCCAAATCTAAGAGAAGAAAACCATCTAAATTTCTGGATGTCGAAAGAAAAACAAAATTAAAAGCAATTTTCCTCTCTTAGATTTGTTGAACTTAAGATACTGTGCTATTTCTTACCCCTCCCTCCCTCTAGGTTGCTCAGCTGAAATGATGAGAGAAAGATTGCTGTGCCAAATGTAATGAGGCGTTGCACTTTCACCTCCACAGAAGCTAAACCTAATGGAAGTCATTGGCTAAACGCATTGCAGAGTAAATGAGATGACTTCTTGGTTAGTGGGGCTGTTGTTTGGCGCATAATTGATAGGAGAGGTGTTTAAAGGCATTCATCCCCCCCTCCCCCTGAGGGCAACATAATTGCAAAAGAATCTAATAAGGTAGGAAGGAAAGGAGACTTTTTATCAAAGTGCCGCACATGCTCTAGGTCTGCATTTCAAATCACAAGCTGTAAGGAAGTGCAACAAACCTGGGAGATCTGCACTATCAGATCATGCAAGGAAAATAAAGGCTCATTCTGAGCAAATTGAACACCACTGGTCGACTGGGTGTGAATTTAGCATAGCATCTGATGCACTCATTCTAGTGTTGTTATTGTCTCTACGGCTATCTGCTGCCATCTCCATCCAATCACTCTGAAGGAGAACCTCGGAGACAAGAAGCCTCCACACAATCTGAACACACAGCTGCTCTGGGCTTTGGCCAGTAAATGAAGAATTCACAAAAACAGATGCGTTTTTTCTTCAGCCAGGCGACTAAAAATACAAATACAAAATTAAAGGCAATGTCTTCAGTATGAAAGCTGCTAAAGGGTTAACACAAAATAAAACAAAGGCTTCTTTATTCTGTCATGTTATTATGATCAACCTTTTAATGATGCCTGAAGATGTCTGGCTTCACCAGCATCACCAAACTGAGGTGTTACAGCTTTCTCTCTGTTATGCAAGACTGATAATAAAACACAAGTTTTTTTTTTATATACACTAAATACTACCGCAAAATGCAAAACATGTATTAAATCCTGGTGCAGAACTCAAATCTCACTGATTAAAGTGCAAAAAAGAACGGCACCAAGTGGTGTTGGAGTTACATGGCAACTTAAAAAGTAAAACACAAGCCAAAAAAATGTCTTATTTACCCTTTAAAAACACATTGAAAATGTCACTTTCTTGTTTATTGGTTTAGACCTCTTGTTGTATAATTAAACATATTCTGTTTTGAACCTGTTGACCCTGTAAACTTCTCAAACACAGACCTCTACATCTGTAGACATCTTCACTTAAATTCTCAATTTGCCTCGTTCGCTTTATCACACACAGTTGAGAAAGAAGTACAAAACTTTTTATTTTGATAAGAAAATTTGTGTGACATCTGTTCAAACATTGGGCCCTCTTCATTTGCCATTGAAGTTTTGAGGATGTTTAAATGGATGCCATTAATAAAAGGTCATGTCATGTTATCACTGCGATCAATTGTCTCATTAGCTGTTGGATTAACACTTATAATATAAGGAGTAGTAAGACAAATTTTTCCTGAATTTATTATACAGATTTTAAGCACAATGTTTAACACTTCAAAGCCTTTAGTGCAAATAACACTGAAACAGTGGCAGAGGTCAGCTTTGATATGTGAAAAGAAAACTAGAAGTATTAACTCTTTTTCAGCCTTTTACTCAAATAAAATATGATAAATTAAAAACGTTACAACATGTGAATTTCTGGTAATCTTCATTCAGTGTATTAATTGTAATTAATTTAATTTAATTTGAAAATCTAGGATATTTAAGCTGTAGAAATCTGCGGATTGCAGGTAACCAGAGATGTTAAAGTCATGTGATGTTGATTTTCTTGAGGACACAATGTTTTTTTTATAGGTAGGCCTTTGCTATTACCAGCATAAAGGTATGCAACAGTTTTAAACCCCTAATGCGTTTCATCATATAATTTTACTGGTTTAGAAGTAATTCAATGAGATGCAACACAGGGTCTCATTTATCAAAGATTACATGCCGTCTCTACTAAAAGTGTACATACACATAGAATCAGCAAGTGGCATAAAGAAAGATATTTCAGATTTATAAAATCAATCTGCAGACACAAAAAAAGTCGATTTCCTTAATGAATCACACCTATGAAACAATCAACCATTAAATGTCCATGCAAAGCACCCCATGAAGAGCACTGTGTATTCAAATGAGCCAGCTGATCAATGTTATTTCATGGTTACCGATGGCAACCACGGGGAAGAGAAACAAAAGCAGAAATATACGTTTTGAGTGAGGTGGCAAGTTTGATAAACATGTTTGGTAGTGACAATATTGGTCCAACAAATAAAGAAAGTATGAATGGAAACAGAAACTGATCACATTAACAACATCTTCCTAGCCAGCAGGCAGTATTGTACTTTGCGATGACTGGGATATCTTCACTTTATGGATAAATGTACAAAATAATTATGCTCCTAAAAGTTTTTTTCAGACAAAGAGTTAAATAATTGTTGATTATGTTTAACACCAGTGGGGGATGTTTTGCTGGTCAGTGCCGGTTGACAGGGAGCCAACAGTAACTGATGGCTAAAAGAAAAAAAACACAAAAAAAAGTCTGGATAGACTGCCCACCAGAAAATCTAGTATAACATTTAATATGAATAAAAAAATGCTCTCTGGTTTTTTTTTTGTACACTGGGGTAGTGTGTGCTGGCCTGCTGATGAAGAGGGATGGTGTGGCTTTCAAACTAAACCCCATTCAGAACGTAGGTCCAACAGCAACTATCTAGGGAGTGTAATCGGCTGACAAACGGGTTAATGGGTCAGGAAACCTTGATGATCCCTGTAAACGTGTTTAGATTAGATTAGATTACATTTGATTAAATTTATTGTCCTGATAGGGGAAATATGTCTTGGACTACGTGAAAACACACAAAAAAAAATCTGTTATGAAATACAATAAATACACATTAACATGCACCAGATCACATATATTTCAATAAACAATCAACACCGCTTTTCCCCCCTAATTTTTCCATTTTAATTTTCTCCAGCGGAGCAATGCAACCATCATACGACATTATGCCCTGTTGTCACAGCTGTATAAAATGGTTTACAGTGTGTGAATGCCTCCTAATTTGTTAAATTTATGTATTGTTCTGAGGTACGACTCGCCCTGTTGACCATTGGGTAGAG